GTGCTTTGAAACTCTTATAAGATAATGGCGTACGGACCTATTAGGGATTTTAAAACAACCGCAATTTTTTTGTGTGGAAGAAAACTATAGTTATTGAAAAGCTTGTATGCACATTTATGTTAATTCATATGACAAGGATATGTGTGACGCTATTACTTAAATCAATGCTAATGTCATTGTCACATCTAAGCCGAAAGCATTATGGAATTATGTTGTTAAGAAAAATTTATCAAATCTCATTAATTGTTTGAACACACTTGGTATGCCTATTTCCAATGCAATTGCTACTAAAAAAGTTTTTAAGATGTCTTACTAGGGAATTAGCAACCGAAGGTCACCATGATTAAAGAAGCTAATGGTCTTACAACACTTGATCTCACTACATTGTTTGGTAAGTTTGAAGAACATGAACAAGAACTCACTTGTTGAACAAGCATAGGAAAAGTATTGAGAAGAAGAAGAAGAAAAACGAGAAAGACACGGATAAGGAGGAAATAAAAAAGTCTAAAGCTCTTAGGGCATCAAGTTCAAGATCCTAAAATTGAGCACGTAATATGATAGTGATTTTAGTGATGGTGAAGATTTAAATTGTCACTATGGTTGCATTTCCCAAATGCAACTAATTATTTCACTAACCCCTAAGGACCTAATGAAGATTAGGTATCTAGCTTGTCTTGTTGTTTTGCAGGTGCATTGTCTTGACTCTATAAAAAGAATATTGGTTCTCATTTATGGTGGTTCAAGCATATGAACATATTCTAATTCTATTGATACGAAACAAGATGATGGATTATGTGATCTAGAAAGCAACAACAAGTTTTGTTTTATTGGTAAAAGATACGTACGTTAATTTTGATGTTATATCCAAGAATACTCGAAAAAAGTATTTCATTTCATGATGTAGGTTTATCTTCAAGAGACATACTCAATGACGCTGAAGAATGAATTGGTCAACCTGAATCGGTGAAACATGAGGAGGAGAAAGATAACTATCATGAAAAGGACAACGATGAAAGTTCAATCAAAATGAATGATCATCAAATCATTTACCTTCTTAGATTCATCATAAGTTATAATTTTGGGTACTTTGTCAAAGTGAAAAGTGGTAAGATCATGGTTTTATAAAGACTTTGTGGCATTTTGATTTATTCAACTTTCTTTCGAGAGTCCCGTGTGAAATGCAAATGCATCCTACATCATATTGTTCGATGAGGTAGTATCAATTTAACTTTTGCTTTATTAGTAAGTTCTCTCTTTTACTTGTTTATTTCTCTAAATATATGACATACTTGGTGTATGGTATATATATTATGAGTACTCATTTGCAACATAATTCTTAATTGATAATGATAGTGACTTATCAATTTATATACTTGAAATGATCTCATCATATTATACTTTCATGTATTTATTACAAACACTTATGTGTACATAAGCATGTTTAGCTTCATTAAATATCAAGCATAATACATTTGATATTACATCATATTTCATTCTACTAACATGCGACTTGTCAAAGAACTCTCTAAGCTTATGAAAGGAGTATTTGAAATGAATCTTATGATAAATTGAATTACTCTTCCGGACTCCAAATAAAGTAACTCAAGGAAGGAACACATGCGTGGGAAATTACCTTCGCGATCATGTTGAAAAAGGGAATGTTGTGCTCGTGCATCTTGCTAGTGAAAATCAAATTGCCGACATTTTCACAAAAATGTTTGTAATCAAACCGTCTTTCAACAAACATGTGGAATTGGGGATTATTAATGTCTCCAATGTTTCCTTCTTTATTATGATTCTTGCACGGTTATACTTTTTCTATAACAATTCGTTTGATTATTTTACATCATGTGAGTGCAACTTCAATTCCATCAAGAGTTAGGTAATATTTTTCCAAATCTCTCTTTTAAAGTAAGAAGTTTCTTAGTACATGTTTTAGTTGATGAAAAATGCTTGCTATGTACTCAAATGATGAAAATCATGAAGATTCATTTCCAAAAAATTTAATTGATAACCATTGCGTATTCTTAATGTACATTCTTATAATGACTTCATGTATTAATTCGTTCATATTTGTATAAGTTTGTTCTTGTATGTACAAATATGTGTTTCTATTATTATTTCTTGCTTTTGTGAATGAGTTGAATGTAAGCATGTAAATTGCATATACGTTTCATGTTGTAGTTGCGTCACATTTTATGGCAACATTTTAATTTTGGAATGAGTAGTGACATGTTCTTATCACTATGCTAGGAAAATACGTGTGTGATATCAGGAGTTCCATTATGTTGTGTTACAAAATCGTGACGCTATAGAAGCAACTTAACTAGTTGTCTCTTGCATCACATTCATTATTATTTATGCAATTGCATTACATGTTTGGTAATTTTTTATGCTTGCTATCTTCTTCTTTTTTTGCATCATTACATATATATGGGAATATATAATTGTATGCTCTTCTTTGCAAAAATGCCTTTGTGTGAAATATTAGTATTGGTATTGGAATATGATACTTCTCACGATTTGCCATCTTTCTTTTTAATGTTGTCAAAGGGGGAGAAGAATATGCGAGGTGAATATGGGAAGCACAAAGTCACGAGGATCCTTCGATAACTACATGAAATGCATCGTCGCAAGTTTTTCCATCATTATAAAGGGGGAATTTGTGAGTGTAACTTCACTATTAGATGTTTTATATGATGTCAAAACTCGAAAAGCTAGCATTTCAGTATGGTAGGCAGTATCCTTATGTGTTATGGCACAATCTTGCATTATCGATCTTAGGAATCATCAAAAAGCATATTGAAATTGATCTAAATAATTGAAAAACCATTTTGCATAGTTTTTTGGTGCATGTGTTGACACATTCGAGTTTCAGGTCGACACATGTAACTCATTTTTAAAGCATGTAGCTTCTATATGTCTCAGGTCGACACATGCATTCATACAGGTCGACATATAGTAAAATATATGAAATTTTAGAAATTTCCATTTTATGTGTTGACACATCCGTTTTTCAGGTCGACACATCTACTAGCGTATTTAAGCATGTAGCCTCTGAGTTGTTCAGGTCAACACATCTACTAGCGTATTTAAGCATGTAGCCTCTGAGTTGTTCAGGTTGACAAATGATATTATTTGAGGTCGACACATACAACCTAAACAAAAAGTATGTGTCGACATACGAGTTTGAGGTTGACACATCCTATTTGATTCAGTCATATGTTGATTTCTTTTTTATTCCAAATTCGCCCTTATTTCCCTAATTGTCCCACAACTATAAACATTGATTCATGCATTATTTACAACATGATGATACCATAAAATTATCCTACATTTCTTCTTCTTCTTCAAACATCAAATCTATGCATACACACCAACATTACATTGTGATGATGTTCCGTCAGGGTGCTATCTAGACAAAGAATTGTGGATTTCCAATTGGCTTGGGTTGAGATTTGTAGGGGTCTTCATCTGGGAAAAACCATCGGGTTTATCCTCCAAAGTCATTTGTTGAATTGGGGGTTTTCGTGCAAGATGGTGCGAAGGATCATCCATGTGAAAAATCCATTGGAGTGTTTGAAATCTTTTCAAGGAACCTTAGAGTTGTTGAAATCTTTTTAAGGAAGTAGCAAGAATTGGATGATAGAATCGGTGATCTTGTGTTGATAGTTTACAATCGGATTTACTCGAGTGAAAAACTCCTTGGAGTGTTTTAAATCTTTGCATGAAACCTTGGGGTGTTTGAAATCCTTTTAAAGAAGTAGATTAAGCGGTGAAAGATTGCATCTATCGGTCTTAGTCTTGTTGAAGATCAAAAGAAGAGAAGGGGTTGAATCAACATCAAACGGTTATGGTTTGTAGTATTGCTCTTGAACACTTACTTTGTTATACTTTTGCAAAGTAAGAAGTTATCCTAATTCCAAATTTGGAATTGGGGGAATATGTAGCCATAGAGAAGATAATTGGTGAACTTCCTAAACAAGTCATTGTGTCTCTTTTCTTTTATTGCTTTATTTTCTTTAATCTTCATACATCGACTGTCAAATAGCATTGAGTAATTTATAAGTGCTTTAATCTGTTTTTTGTTTTGAGTTGTGTGTTGAGTTGCTTATAATCACTTTTGATTATAAGTGTTTTTTCATATCAACGCAACACAAAGGAAAATTATGAAACTTTGAATGCACGCCAAGTGTTTGAAAAATTATTTAGCATGTTTAACTCAGAGGAAAATTGATATGTTTTATCTCTTACTTTCATTTACTCTCTATATGCAATGTGTTGAATGTTTTGTTTGATCGATTGATTCTTATAGAATTTCTCTTTGATTATTAAAGTTTAAATTGCCTTGTTGATTACATTAAAATCACTTTGATTGTAAGTGCTCTTGCATATCAGCAAATGTCAAAGAAAATTTTGAAAAATTGATTGCACACCACATGTTCGATAAATTGTCATATTATGTTTTTAATATGATTTCATTGGAAATAGGAAACCATTGTGTTGAATATTAAACAGTTAATTGAGATATTATTATGTTGATTGGTTTTATAATTATGTTAATTCCATATGGCTCGTGCATATCCAAGTTTCCAATAAATATGTTTGCTTAGACTACTATATTGATTTAGGCCAAAATCCTTCCGCTCAACATTGTTTTTCAAATAAGTTTTAAATAATCTTTTTGAAAAATAATCTTTATTTGGGAATCTAGTTACCCCTCCTCTAGATCTGGTGTCGTAGTCTAACAAATATTGTTTCTTATTTTATTTTGCATCATTTCCAATAAACCCAACCCATTAAAATTTGAACGCGTTGGGTAACGAGCTAGGCTAAACTCGGTCCAATCCAACCCATGTACACCCCTATTTGTTAGGATTTATCCTATTTTCAAGCATATGAAGGATAAACCTTCAACCTATATTTAAAGGCACATCATGTATCATTCTTCATGGTTGATCAATACCAAATACAAAATACTTTCAAGTTAATTTTCTATTATGGCATCTGAGCACGGTTCTGATTCAGAAGAGATATTGGAGAGTAAAAATACCTCAAAACCTGAAACGAATAACACAACAAAGAATAGACAAACTTATAATATAAACAACTCTGATAATTCTAGAACTCCACTCGTGACAGCAGTGCTGAATGGAGAGAACTATCGCACATGGTCAAGATCAATCAAGATGGCTTTGCATGCAAAGACGAAACTGGGTTTCATTGATGGAAGCATCAAGAAACCATCAATTTAATCTGAAGTATACCATGACTGAGAGAAAGCGGATTCAATGGTGATGGTTTAATTGATCAATGCGATATAACCAAATGTACATTGTAGTATCTCACATGCTTCAACTACTCGAGATGTGTGGGTGGATCTTTAAGAACAATTTGATTAGACCAATGCACCACGAATCCATCAATGATGGAGAAACTTGTGTTTAATTCAAAAACAACCAGAAACAAGCATAACAAATTACTATACTCAATTCAAAACTCCTGTTGATGAATTGAGTGAATTGCAAACCCTACCTGAATGCAATTGTGAAGCTGCTAAAGTGTTGACACAAAGGGAAGAAGAATAATAAGTCCACCTCTTTCGTGGAGGCTTTGATAATGAATAATACTCACATGTAAAGGAAATTATACTCAATATTGATCCATTACCCTCTCTTAGGCGCGTTGTTAATCAAATGTAAAGAGAAGAATCTTGTTTCGCAACAGATAAGGAAAGAGATTCCAAGGTTTAAAATGCATATGCATTTTACTCAGGTGCAGATAGGAAGAGAGGAGATGAATATCACTCAAGATTAAATTGTGATCATTGTGGGAAAATTGGATATGTCAAGGAAAAATGCTTTGAGATTGTTAGATATCCAGCAAGTTGGGAATCACGAAGAACTCAAAGGAGAGAACCTAACAAACCAAGAGGGCATCAAGTAGAAAATCTTGCTCAAGCCACTTAAAGAAAAGAATATCCAAAAGCGTCAGGACCATGCCTTGCATGGAGTTTGTAACAAACATCATACAAACCCACATGAAAACATTACTGATAAATTTGAATATCATTTCAATTGGATACTTGATAATGGTGCCTCACACCACATGACTCATTTGACCTTAATATTGAAGAAAAACAAAAAATTAGAAAAATATTTCTACATAACTACATCAACAGGGATTTCATGCTTAGTTAAATATCACCATTAGTAAAACAATAATTAGCGTTGGCTATTTTGCGACACTAATGGCCAAAAAACCCATGCTAAAACGTATTTAGCGTCAGATTATTGTCGCCATCAGAGGCTGGCTAAATGGCTCGAAATTAACATGTTAGCGTCATTCAAATATGGTCGTGTCTACTAAAGCGTCTGTTAAACTGAGGCTAGGCCGAGGCTAACTTAAAGCCAACGCTAAAAAATAAATTTCATAAAGTCAACCAAAAAATTAGCATCAATTGAGCCGAGGTTAAAGTCAACTATAAAAAAGTCAAACACCTGGTTAGCTTCAGCTACACCAAGGCTAAATTCAAAATTGAAAAGTCAAAGAAACCTATTAGCTTCGGGCTAGCTGACCCTAAAATCAACTTTGAAAAGTCAATAAAAGACCAACGCTAAAGTCAATTTTTAAAGTCAACAAATTTGAAAAATCATATGTTACACCCATGAATTATATATTTTGTTACAAACCTATTGTTAGAACCACTTCCTGAAAAACAAAAATAATTGAATCTCCAACCCAACAATTACTTTGTTTCCCATTATTATTTCACGAGGATCACTAAAAATATAAACTATCATAAAGTCTCAATTAAAAATGTACATTTTGGAAGTAATTATGTACATCAATGTATTTCCTTGCAACCTGCAATCGTTTAATATCTACAATAGAAGCTTATAAGATGCACAACACATATTTCTATTCTTTGAAACAAGTAGAATAATTAGTAGAAATAGTTTATAGCAAATTAGTAGAATACTAAGGAGAAATAATTAAAAGCAAACAAACCACCCAACAATAATCAATAATCAATTAATGATAATGTCACCATATGTAAATAGTAATTCAGGAAGTGCTGGTGCTCGATTTCATGCTCGAAATCAGAATCTGAAAATTTGGAACGATACAAATTATATAAAAAAGTTAAAAATTCGGAATGATAATGTAACCATCAATGTGTTGTTGATAGATCTGTTTTCAATAAATCTTGTCCCCTACAACATCACAGAAATATTATTATATCTTGTTAGGTATAATGAAGTACAAAAACAATATTTAAATTTGAAACTGAAATGAGATAGAGCTTTTTCACCTTGTAGCTTCTTGTTATTGCCAAATTGAGTCACTGATGTCATATTGCTACTACGCCAAATTGAAGTGTTATTATGCTAATTTTTATTCCAAATAGAAATGTCAAATGTTTCTAATCATAATAATTGTTTAATCAAAATCAACATTTTATTAATAAACAAGGTCAATATATAGATTTCATTGCATCTAGAGATTCAACATAACATTAACAATACAATTCAAAATCTATTTCAAAATCTATTTCAACTATTGTATTTCATAACAAAGTAAACATTAAACATAAAATAGATAATAAAATATAACATTTTCGTATTTTTTGAAAATTTCTATGATTTCTGTTTGTTCTTCAAATTCTTGTTCTTCTTCTTTGAATCTTCATACACAACCTTCAAATAGCTCATAGTTTCCAATGCTCATAATGCTCTCATATTCATTTCCACCTTTTGCTCCCATGTCTTCATCCCATATAAACAAATTACATGTCTCATCACTCTTTCAAAATAGACATCTCCAAAAAAGTCTTTCTTTATTCTGTCCTTTCTTGCATTGATACGAAACCATACGATCATTACACCCACATAATTTTCCAAATTGAGATTTTACAAAAAAATAAGACATAGAAACACCTTTGATTGAGTTGACTCTACTAACAAACATAAAGTTGGTCAATTTTATTAGTTATTTGAGTTGAATTTGCTGACTATTACGATATCAGATAAATATTTATAAGTAACATCAAATATCATCAAATATCATGTCACAAAATTATGTACGAAGTTATAAGTAACATTTCTATATAGAGCCTATCGTGCCCACTATTTTCTTAAAAACAAAAGTAATGTATATTAACCTATATAGATCAAAATAGTGCATGTCTTGAAGGTTTATCACTTGCATTATTTTGTTAATTATTATTTCAACACACCTTACCAATTACATTCGATTAGATTAGAATGAAATCAACCAAAATCTACAAAGATAAAATTCATCCAACTTAAAAACAACAAATTAAAAAGGTTAAGAAGCATTGGGCAAACCTTGGTAATGGAGATGAGATTGCAATCGATCTTACAGATGCATCGATGCATCAAATGAGTCGATCTAACAATTAAATAGATAGATGTTTCCAAAGCAATGTATATATTTATGCATGGTTTATATATTTGTATAATTAGTATTTCTTTCCCTATGGTCTATTGTCCAAGCCAATATGTTTTGTATTTTTTGACGAAGATGGAAAAGAACAAGTGTGAGGCAAACAAAAAAAATCCCGCAACAATATGTTTAGTATAGCGTGGGTTCCATCTTCGCTTATATTTAATAAATAAATAAATAAATATATTAACTAAAGAAAGAAAATATATATTAAATATATCAGTACATAGCATCATTTCAGCCAACACTTATAGTTAAATAAATAAGAAAATAAAAACTGTTAGCACCAAACAAAAAAAAAAGGAAATGAAATATTTTTCATAACTATCAAATTTTAGGATTTATAAAGTAGTATCAGTCAAACTGACGCTACCATGTTGATAAATAAATATATATAATAAATAGAAATATATAGCGTCAGAAAGGTCGTGACTGCGTAGTCAGATAAAAATAAATTCAAAATGTAAAAATATGTATCTTTGGCTTGGTTGTGTTTAACTAATCAATAAAATTAATATAAAAAATAAAAAATAAAAAAATCTTGTAGCGTGGACGTAGTGTGGATTAGGCCGACAATACTGATGTTACTTAGCGTCGGTGGTCGATGCTAAATTTGGACATCTAAAATATAATTTTCTAGTAGTGTATATGGGATATGCGGATTATCAAGTTTCCTTATGCTAAAAGATGTGTTATTGGTTCCTGATTTTAAATGCAATATGATTTCAATTCATAAATTAACATGTGACTTAAATTGTTATGTGACTTATTATCGAAATTCTTGCATAATACAGGACCGAGCCTCAAAGAGGAAGATTGGATTAGGTGACTCGCATGAAGGGATTTATGTGTTCACAAACCAACATCAAAAGGCTTCATGGGTGCAGCTAAGATGGACATGGAAACCTTATTGCATGTCACAATGGGACATTTCTCAAATCAAATTCTTCAGCTTATTTCACATTTAGTCAATTGTAACTTTGATACAACGACTAATGTGATGTATGCCACAAGGAAAAACAATGTAGAAACATTTTTCGTTTAAGTATTAATAAAGCTAAAGCACCTTTTGAACCGATTCATTGTGACTTACGGAAGAAATACTACATCGCCACAATCAATGGATCACATTACTTTCTAACCATTGTGGATGATTACACTCGTGGCACATGGGTATATTTAATGAAACACAAGACAAAAACTTGACAACATTTGATTAGTTTTAACAACATTGTTAAAAGGCAGTTTAATATGCATATCAAGAGGATTAGGAGTGACAACGGAACAAAGTTTACTAACTCTGATTTCAAGTGTTTCAATCAAAAAGAATGGATCATGCATGAAACTTCTTGTGTTGCTACACCTCAATAGAATGGATGTGTGAAACGTAAGCATAGACAAATTATGAACATAGCATGAGCCTTGCATTTTCAAGCAAATCTCCCATTGCGTTTTTGGGGAGATTGTGTATTGACAACATCGTGCCTAATTAATAGAACTCCTACAGTAGCAAATGAGGGAATCACTTCATACGAGTTACTCTTTAAGAAAACACCAAACTATGAGCACTTGAGAACTTTTGACTACTTATGCTACAAGAAAAATAACTCAAAGAGAATCAGTAAGTTTGATCCCAGAGTTGAAAGATAAATTTTTATTGGTTATCTGCAAGGACAAAAATGATGGAAATTTTACGATCCAAATACTCGTGAATGTTGCATATCAATAGATATAGTGTTTTATAAGCATATATTTCCTTACCATATTCAAGACAATAATGGGCCTAGTAATTTAGGAAATAAATCATCAAGTGATAGCCTCAATGATGAGCCTTCACTCTATAATGATGAAGAATCAAAAGTACCAAGCCTTAAGGAAATTCCCCATAATGACCGAACATCGGGTCCTATGGAGAGTTTATTTATTAAGGAGACTGAATAGGTAAATCAAATTGAGAGTGAGCCCGTAGAGCAAGAACACATATCCATAAATGACGTGAACAAGGAAGTCGCCAATGATTCTAAAAAAGAATCATCAAGTGAAGGTGAAGAAGAAGTCTCAAGTAAGGGGGCCTCAAAACATGCCACACATAAGACGACCTCCAAGTTATCCAAAAGACTATGAATATGGAAAATTAAACATAAACCCCGAGTGCATGGCATCAGTTCTAGAATCCTCTTCAGGTATCACATATCTCATCTCGAATTTTTAAATATAATAAGTTTTCAAAAAAAACATAGAGCTTGCCTTGAAGCTATCACTAATGACGAAGAACCTCAATCATATACCCAAGCAGTCAAACACACGGTTTAGAAGGAGGCCATGGCTCAATAAATCAAGGCTCTAGAAGACAATGAGACATGGGAACTAACTCATTTACTGCAAGGAAGAAAATTGATAGGATGCAGATAAGTGTACAAAATCAAACATAAAGCTACAAGTGAGATTGAAAAGTACAAATCCATATTAGTTGTAAAAGGTTACACACAAATATTAGGTG